AACCTGCTCTGGTTTTCATGCAGAGCCCAGTCTTATGCTGAGAGACTGCGTCTGGGACTAGCGGTGATCCACGGAGAGGCTCAGTGTACGGAGCAGGACATGGATGACGGCCGCCACTCTCCCCCAACTGTCAAAAATACCACCGTGCACTCTGGCCTGGAACTGCCCTGTAAGTTTAGCACTCTGTTACCATTTAACTTTTGGGGGAGGTATGGTGAAGGTACTCGCTGTCTTCTTTGTTGTAATGATGGAACTTCTTCTCATGTGGGCAAAGTTGAGGTTGGATCTGAAGACCTTTTCTGTGCTAAGGTCTTTCTCAAATCTCTCACTATTACACTAGCCTCAGTGCAGCTTCAGCTGGTGTTAGTGCTTGGAGAACATGACAGTTGTCAATGCAGACACATCATTTATGCATCACCGAATGGCACGATATTCATTTTAATATAATAAAGATGCCTTCTAACTATCTTACTGAACTCCGAAAGGGAAATTTGCAAAGGAATAGCCATTAGCAGAGAGACTGTTGGGTGGACAGTCCTTTTCTTCTTTTCGTGATGTAGTCTTTTTTGCTGCCATCCTCTGAATGTGAAGGTAATACCCTAAAACCCTCTAATGTTCCCTCTAATTGTTTCCATCCATGTACGGAATACGTTCTTATGTGTACATCACAAGTAGGAAAAAAACCCTAGTTGTGGGCACTCCGCTAATCAGCAGGGCAGCATTTGAATCTCCCCTGAATGGCTGCACAAGTGCACAGCTTGCAGAGAACACTGCCTTAAACTACAGCAGACTTTGGAATAGTGCTTGTCCATACTGGGAACAAAATTGTGCTAGTTAGTCTCATTTAGATATTGTTTCTGGAAGCATTGTAATGCAACTTGTTTGGTCAGCCATCCAAGGGAAGTAGTGGGGGCAAAAGACCTATCTGGCTTCAAGATTAAGCTAGATGGGTTTATGAAGGGGATGGTTTGATGAGATAACATGATCTTGGTAACTAATTGACCTTTCATTATCAGTGGTAAATAGGCCAAATGGAGGGATGATAGGAGTTACTATAGAGAACTTTCTGGGTGTCTGGCTGTTGAGTCTTGCCCACATGCTCAGGGTTCAGCTGATTGCCATATTTGGTGTCAGGAAGGAATTTTCCTCCAGGGTAGATTGGCAGAGGCCTTGAAGGTTTTTCACCTTCCTCTGTAGCATGGGGTACAGATCACAGCTGAAGAATTCTTTGCATCTTGGGGTCTTCAAAGTATTTGAAGGCTTCAATATCTGAGATATAGGTGAGAGGATTATTCCAGGAGTGGGTGGGTGAGATTCTGTGGCCTGCACTGTGCAGGGGGTCAGACTAGATGATCATAATGGTCCCTTCTGACCTTAAAGTCTGGGTCAGTGTGAATAAGGTCTTTATAAGAACTCCTGCTACTGAGAATGCTACCTTGAATGCTCTCACTAGTCTCACTCTTGCTTTAGTTTGCAGCACAGTTTTATAATATTGCTTATAGGTCCAAAAACCTTAAAAAACTGTTGTAAGTAAGGATGTTAAATATAGGTTAATTGAATAGTCGAGTAACCTCATGAATTTTTATTGGTTATTCGACTATTCTATAGTCCTTGGGGGTGGAGCTGGCAGCCAGTGTGCTCTGGTCTCTCACCCGAGAAGACCCCTGCTACTCTGCACTGCTGCCACTGTATCCGAGTCAGCAGTTTGGGATGCCAGGTGGGAGCTGGTCCATGAGGGGAGCCAGTTTAAAAACTAGCTCCCCTTGTGGACTGGCTGCCTGTTGCCCTGTGCTGCTGCCTCTGATAAAGAGGCAGCGGCATGAGGTGGCAGCAGTCCCTGTTTAGGGGGTGGTCTGAGCTCCTGGACCCGGCGTGACCTGGAACTGAGCTGGGCTGCCCAGCCGCCCGGTTTCTAATATGCTTAAAATGCGGAGCCACAACGGAGGTAGGTCCCAGACCCATCACAAATCAGGACTAAGCTGGGCTGCTGGTCAGCCTGCTAAAAAAATTGTGTGTGTGTGTGTGTGCGCGCGCGCGAGAGCGAGCGCGCAAAGGAGGAACATGGAATGTTGCTTTCTGCTGCTGAGGTACCTGTCCATCAAGCTGGTGGTTCCAAATCACTGGGTTGTGGACCGTGGCCGGGCTGCAGCGGTTGCTGATGCTCAAGCCGGCTGTTCATGGCCACTCAGCGCCAGCAGCCATGGTGGCTGAGGCACGACAGGAGGAGGAGGAGCAAGAGGTGCCTTCCTCCCTCCTCTGCTCTCGGGGAGCGAGGGGGCACGAAGGAGGAGGGAGCCATGTATGCCTCGAACGGTTGCTCTCCCTTCCTGTGTGGCTGTTTTTGCCGGCAGTGGCAGTAGGGTTGCAGCAGCAGCAGGAGGAGGCACTTCCCTCCCTCCTCTGTAATGGCAGCCAGACGGGGCTCCATGCTCTGCCTATGTGGCCATTTTTGCCAGCAGCAGCGCTGGGGTGGCAGCAGGAGGAAACAGAGGAGAAGGCGCCTTCCTCCCTCCTCCCCCTCAGTAATGGTGGCCCAGCCAGGGCTTCACACTCCCTCCCCTCGCACCCTCCATGGGTAAAGATGTGCTTGGGGAGAAAGCGGGTGCGTTGCCAACAGCTGCTCACCTTTTCCACGCATCAGTAACAGCCACGTTCTTAGGGGGACAGCCTCATTCTGGGGAGTGTGGGAGTGGGGAAGCAAAGGGATGTTGGGTAAGGGCATGGTGGGATCACAGGACAAGAGGGTGTTAGCATGGGCTGTAGGGATCAGAGGTTAAAGGGTCAAAGGGTCTGGGGTGTAAGGGTAGGGGTCAAAAGGTGTTAGGCACTGGGGAGCAAGGGGCTGGGCTGGGGCTAGGTGGTCAGATAACATTAAATGTATATATTCATTTGCATAATATGCAAATATGCAAATAAGATTTTTACTGGTCCACCAAAGGTTTGTGAATGGGTTTGTTGGTCCCTGACATAAAAAAGGTTCGGAACCAAAAATCGATCAGATGAGCTTGGTGATATCTGTCTTTGAAGAGGTATGGATGATCTGGTGCTTTCAGAATAATGAATGAACGAGCACATGAATGTGTGTTCCTCTCTTGTAGAATAGTGATAGAAATGTAGACGTGTTAGTCTTGAGAACAACTTATACCTCCAGATCAGCGGCACAGCCATGGATACACGCATGGCCCCACAGTATGCTAATATCGTTATGGCTGACCTAGAACAACGTTTCCTCAACTCCCGTCCCCTTTTACCTCTTCTCTACTTACGCTACATCGATGACATCTTTATGATCTGGACGCATGGCCAAGAAACACTGGAGACATTCTACAGAGATTTCAACAACCTACACCCCACCATTAACCTCAGCCTGGACCATTCCACACGAGAGATCCATTTCCTGGACACCACAGTACAAATCAACAATGGAAAATTAGACACCACCCCCTACAGAAAACCCACTGACTCATACAGTTACCTACATGCTTTCAGCTCCCATCCAGAACACACCATACGATCCATCATCTATAGCCAAGCCCTTTGATACAACCGCATCTGCTCTAATCCCACAGACAGAGACCAGAAACTTCAGGATCTCTACCGAGCATTTATAAACCTCAACTACCCACCCGGAGAAATAAAAAAGCAAATTGAAAGAGCCAAACGAATACCTAGAAACCATCTACTACAAGACAGACCCAAGAAAACCAACAATAGAACACCACTTGTCATCACCTACAGCTCCCAACTTAAACCTGTCCAACACATTATCAATAGATTACAGCCTATACTGGAACAGGACACTAAACTCCAAGAAGCTCTGGGAGACAGACCCATAGTCTCCTATAGACAACCACCTAACCTCAAGATGATTCTTACCAACAACCACAGGACATACCACACTAATACCAACCCTGGTACTTTCCCTTGCAACAAACCCCGTTGCCAGCTTTGTCCACATATTCATTCTGCTGATACCATTATTGGACCTAACCAAGTGAGTTATAAGATCAAGAACACATATTCCTGCGCATCCAGAAATATAATCTATGCTATCATGTGCCGAAAGTGTCCGTCTGCTATGTACATTGGACAAACATCTCAGACACTTCGCCAAAGGATTAATGCCCACAAAACAGATATCAGACAAGATCACAAAGAAAAAACAGTTTCTTGCCATTTTAACCAGAAAGGACACTCTCTAAATGACTTAGCCACCTGCATTCTGCTACAAAGACCTTTTACATCTGCACTTGAAAGGGAATCCTCTGAACTGTCATTCATGTTAAAATTCAACACTTGCCAACAAGGACTTAACAA